CGAAGCCAACTCCTACCAATTTCGGACTACAAAGGGGTCTTAAAAGCCGGCAACTTTATCACGTCCCGCTCCACACAGGCGAACTTTGACCTCGGGAGAGAGGAGTGGCAGGCTAAAGGTAAAGTGAATTCACAAAAAGACGAAAAGAACATCTCCCAGTAAAACAGTACCATCATCGCTGGAATGTTATGTTCTTATACTTTGAGTTACATAACGACTGGAATACGATAAAGCTAAGTACTCACTCCCCAAAACTGCAGATACTCCTGTCAGAAGGCCCATCGTCCTCCAATTACTAGATAATTGCGAGATAACCTCGACACGTTGCCTACCGCAGTCTCAACGTCCCCGGCCTCGGGGTCTGCCGAATTGGTTGGTTGTTGGCTTTGCTGAAGAATTTGGAAAATTCTGCCATGACATCTCATGTTTTTGTGATTTTCCCCAAAGAGGTTACATATAATTCTAGAGCTCGTGGCAGTGACGTCACATGTGTCAGACATGGGGGTGACTGTCATCCTCATAGACATGAACAACCTGACCCTCACCCAGCTCCCCAGGAGCTCTAATAATAATAAAACACCGCCCAGACTCCATATGTCAGTGCTAGCTTGTAGATTTCCTCCTCAGACCGCTTAGCCGCCCACACATGAGTCTCGAAAAGTACTCACTCGTCTGTTGAACTGCGCATGTCTTGCCTTTGAGGTTCATCGTCCCAGAGTGGGCACACAAAGCCCCCGTTCGTTTACGTGGGAGACATCACTGCCAATGAACTCTAGCTGTAGTACACAATAAAATAACCTCTTTAGTTTGACTGAAGAGGTTGGAACATTCTGGCACGGTATCTGATACTTCTGTGATCTTCCCAGATTTCTTCCTTGGCGACATAGCGTCGAGAAAGATCTGAATGATTTATGTGCCAGGCTATACGTGTCTCAGCTGTTGCAGTTATTTAGCGTGACTGGAGAAGACGGGATCGGCAACGGCTTTGCCCTGAGAGTGAGAAAAAAAAAGATATAGGTTTAACGCCCCTATCAACACTATTAGGTTATTTAAGAGACAGAACCTCTGAGTTTAAAGTCCATCTCTGAAAAGACCGAGCCAAACGAGAAATTCGTGTAAATTGCCTTTCCAAAGGACACAATGTCAGACCAAGCTGAGGCTCGAATCCCCGAACCCCCAATCTCACGATTACGAGTCAGGTAGCCGGACCACTAGGCCATCGACGCCCCTGAGAGTGTGAGCAGACAGTTTTACAGTATTACGGTATTACTGTAAACTCTCTGGTGTGAGGGTATGGTATGAATTGTGTTGGAGAAGGAATAACGAGTGCAACCAAATTCCCTAAACTCAAGCAACTATATTTGAGTTACCCCCACCCCCGCACACAAATCTGTTGTTTTTTTCCTCCTTAAATACCAGACAAGAGAAACAAGACCTATAAACTTGTAAACTTAAACAAAAAACCTAGCTATTATGGAAAAAAGGTTTATCTCCTTCCCGAAAGGCGGAGAAAAATGAAAACTTATTTACTGAAAACATCACTAGAGGATGGACTCTGTCCATATCTGTGAACAATACGACGTCACCTTTTTTAAAATAATAAACAACATTTGTATAGTGCATACCCCCTTTCGACAGCAAGCTCTATGCGCTTTACACTACATTATTACCCCAAAAGACTATAGAACACATAGAAACATTCTCAGCTCACAGGAAGCGTACAGTGCAAGCAGCTGATTAAGCGCTCAAACACCAACAAACTGACAAGATTTTTTTCACTGTCTATAGTTGGGTACCCATTCCCACCTTGTTGAAGAGAAGAAAATTGAAGTAAAGCACTTTTCCCAAGGACACATCGTCGGGCCCCGGACGAGATTCGAACCCACATCTTTACGGTTGCGAGTCTGAGAGCCTAACCGGAACGCGCTAGATTAAACAACAAATCTGTATTTTCCTAAACCCTGCTAACATCTTACTCTTACACCAGCCCTCCCTCCCCCTACCATCCCTCCCCTCCTTCGCCTACTATCCTTCCCCTCCCTCCCTTTCCCATCCCTTCCCTATCTTCCCCC